GTGCTAGTGGTGAATGGAGGGAATATTGAAGGTGGTGAATGAGTTGCGAAATCAAGTGAACTGCTTTTGCCCGATTGATGTCAAGCTTTTTTGGGTATTGTTTAGAGCAGGGCACATCCAGGGGAGTATACAATCACACTTCTGACATGTGCCTTGTAGACAGCGGATAGGCATTGGGCAGAAAGGAGGTGAGTTACTCGCTCAAAGATTGTTAACACCTGATTTGCTCTTCTAGTCACTGTATGTATATTGGTTCTTCTGTCCCATTTCTAAATAATGGTAATCCTATGAGGTTGATATTTGGGTATTCAGGGATGCCAATGCCATTGAATTTGAAGAATATAGTTAAATCTTTCTTATTGGAGAGTCATTGCCCTGCATGAAGGCATGAATGTTTCTTGCCATTTATTATCCCAAGTCTGGATGTTGTCCAGGTCTCTTCTATGAACACAGTCTGCTTCAGTATCTGAAGAGGTGCTGAGCACTGTGCAATCATCAGCAAACAGTCCCATTTCTGAGCTTGTGATGGAGGAAGTTCATTGATGGAGCAGATAAAGATGTTTGGACCAAAGACAGTGGACTGGGGACCTCCTTCAGTTCTCAATTCTGACACCGAGATGACTTACTTTGTACTACGTATGACTCCAAACAGTGGCAAACATTCACCCTGATTGTCTTTGTCTCCAGTCCTGTTAGGGTGCATCGCCATATGCTGATACATTGTGCCTCAATAACAAGGGCAGTCACTCTCACCTCCCCTCTGAAATTCAGCTCTTTCCTCCATGTTTGGATCAAAGCTGTAATGAGGCCAGCAGCTGAATGGTTCTGGGAGAACCCAAACTCAGTCATAGTGAGCAGGTTATTTCTTTGTTAAGTGCTGCTACTAAGCCATGTACCTCTAACCTGCAGGTGCTCCAAGGGCCTCTGCACAGTGACCAGAATATTGGCAGCATTTGGAGCACTGTCAACCAGTTTCAGAAGTTGCAGCCACACATGGACCTCAGATGTCTACACATAACAGAATTCATTGGTGATTGATAGCAGAGTCAACAATGCAGTCCAACACATTAATTCTGATGGAGAGTAGACTGTTGAGCTGGTAATTGTTTGAGATTGTCATTCTTTTTGTGCAGAGGACATTGGAGCAGGATTAGACTACTTGGCCCCTCGTGTCCGTAAGGTTACAATTTACAAACGATTAGGAAATTATGAATAAAGGTCTTTCTGAAAAAGAGTCGTACCAGACTCGAAATGTTAACTCTTTCTCTCTCCATAGTTGCTGCCAGACCTGCTGAGTTTCTCCACAATTAGAGTCATAGAGTCATGGAGTCCTACAGCATGGAGACAGGCATTTTGGCCTAAACTGATCCATGCTGACCAAAATGTCCATCCACTCTAACCCCATGTCCCTGCACTTGGCCTATATCCTTCTAAACCTTTCCTGTCCAAGTATTCATCCAAATGCCTTTTAAATGTTGTTAATCTACTCATCTCAACCACTTCCACTGGCAGCTCATTCCATATATGTACCACTCTATATGTAAAAAAGTTGCCTCTCAGGTTCCCATGTATTCTTTCCCCTCTTACCTTAGACTGATGCCCTCTGGTCCACGACTTCCCAGCCCTAGAAAAATGACTCTCTCCATGCCTCTCATGATCTTGTACACTTCTACAAGATCCCCACCTCAGTCTCCTATGCTCTAATGAAAGCTTGTCCAACCTCTCCCTATAACTCAGTTCCTTAAGTCCTGGTAACATCCTTGTAAATTTCTTCTGCACTCTTTCCAGTTTAATAACATCCTTCCTATAGTAAGGTGACCAAAATCGAACACAATACTCAAAGTGCCACCTCACCAACATCCTGTATAACTGCAACGTAACTTCCCAACTTCTATACTCTATACCCTGACTGATGAAGGCCAGTGTGCCAAAAGCCTTCTTCACTGCCCTGTCCATTTGTGACTCCACTTGCAGAGAACCGTGCACCTGAACTCCAAGGTCCATCTATTCTACTACACTCCTTCAGGCCCTACCATTCAGTATGAAACTCCTACCTTGATTTGACTTTCCAAAATGCAACACCTCACGCTTATTTATATTAAACTCCATTTGCCATTTCTCGGCCCACTTCCTCAGCTGAACAAGATCTTGCTGCTATTTTTGATAACCTTCCTCACTGTCCACAATACAGCCTATTTTAGCGTCATCCACAAACTTACTAATCATGCCTTGTACATTCTCATCCAAATCACTGATATAGATAACAAACAGCAATGGGCCCAGCACTGACCCCTGAGGCACAACAGTAGTCAGAGGCCTCCAGTCCGACAAACATCCTTCCGCTATTCTGTGTATGTTTTAGAAAAGTATGAAATGTGGCTGAAACTATTGCCCATTTGTCATTTAACATAGCCAATAAATATTTCAGAATCTCCAGAGATACTCATTGCTTTCAATGGCCCAAGGTTACGTTCTGAACTAACTGCGATATTATTAAGTGAATATTTTCCCAGTAATAGAACCCATAGCAATGTGTAATGCTGGCCACATTCACATTCTAATGCCTCACTGAGTTTAAAGCCTAAACGTTGTAACATCTGCAAAGACAGAACAAATGATCTCCAGTAATTGCATTCATTAAAAAACTGATTCTTAGGCTTGTGATCAACAAAGACTGTCAACTTCATTTTAAGGAATAAAGCTCCATATGTTAAGCCTGTGCCTTTTTTTTTAAAACCAAAGTAGGTTCCAAATTTAACAGCTATAGTTTGGAGCAGAAGGTAATCTTGATGAGACTAAACATTGGAAATGTTGGCCAAAGTGTTACAGCAACTGCCACCCCTCCAAATGATGGGATGGGAGGCAGATTAGTGGAGAGGTAAAAGTGGGGATGCCATAACAGTATTGCTGTGCCCACCACCTACCCACCCTTTCCTGCCCCCACAATGATATTAACAACAGAGATCTCTCTCTAGTGACAAATTGAGACCCAGAAGCAGCTAAGTCAAGGACATTCTCCACCACCACCGGATTTTACCGACAGCAGGGAAGCTGAAACCTGTTATACTGGAGGCTGGGCAAAGGGTGAGCAGGGGTGCTTCCCTTTCACCAGAAGCTCTCCCTCATCACACCCAGCATTTTCCCTTCCCCCAAGCCCCCTGGATATACATGGGAACATAAACTAGGAGCACACATAGGCATGGGGCTCCTTGAACTTGCTTTGCCATCAATAAGATAATTGTTGATCTGTTCATGCTATGAATTGTCCATTCCCATCTAATGCTGATAACCCTTAAATTCTCCTGCCAAACAAGAATGCATCCACCTCCACTTTAAAAAAAAAATGACTGCACTTCCTCTGCCTTCAGAGGGAGAGAACTCCAAAGAAGCAAAACCCCCTGAGAAAAATATTTGCCTCAACTTTGTCCTAAAATTTGGACCTACATTTGTTAAATGGTGTCCCTTAGCTCTGGTCTTACCCACTGGAGGAAACATCCATTCTAGATCCCCATTGTCAAGATCTTTCAGGATGTTATATTCTTCAATCAATTCAGCCCTCATTCTTCTAAACAAGTGTAGTCTGTCCAATCCCTCCTCATAAGACAACCTGATCATTCATGGTATCAATCTGGTGAACAACATCTGAACCAATGTATTTATATCCTTTCTGAAAGGAGACCAAATTTGCATACAGTGCTCCAGATACTTTCTCACCAAAGCCTTTGTATAACTAAAGAGTAAAATCCTACTTTTATGTGCAATTCCCTTGTAATAAAGGATAGAATTCCATCAGCCTTCTTGATAACCTACTGCACTTGCATGCTAACTTTTAGCGACTCATGCAATACAATACCTCTTCATTTTACAATTCTGCAGTCATTATTCTTGGCAAAATGAACAACCTCACATTTTTGCGCACTACACTCCAACTACCAGGCCTTTGTGCACTCACTAAATCTATCTATTGTTGTCTGCAACCTCCATATGTATGACATGTGAACAAGAAACAACAATAAGAGAAGCTGTTAATGTTGACACTTTTACCTTTGGCCCAGTAGGCCGGAGTTCAAGTCCCATCTGTCCCTGACATGTATCTGAACAGATTGGTTAAAATACCTTAAAGTTGATGATTAAGGGACCTGCATTTCTAATACTGACATTCTCTTCCTCAAAACGCAATGGAAGCATATTCTTTAAATGTATTTCGGGTACAGGTGGATAGATTCTTCAGAAGCAAAGGGTTAAAAGGTTAACAGGGGTATGTGGGAATGTGGAGCAATTAGATCAGTCATGATATTACTGAATGACAGAGCAGTTTTGAGGGATAAAATAGCCTACTCCTGCTCCTAATTTATACATTCATATAGATAATCCATGGTCTTTCAAAAACTAAATATGGCACTAATCTTTTTATTAAGTTTTCCAGTGAGGAATTAATCAGCTAATCTTGAGAAGGTTGATGTGCCTGAAGACTTAGCCTCTTGCTTAAGTTTGTCAATAATTCAAGTTACAATTAAGTCTCAGTGTGACCAAGGGGGTGAGATGTGATTTGGGATACTGGCTGTTATAAGTGTGCTGGATTCGAGCTTCATGGAATTACACAACATATGAGTAGGCCAGTCAACCTATCATCTCACTGCTGAGTCTTTGAAGGTGCAACCCTATTCATTGAACTTTCCTTCTCCTTCCCAATAACACAACAATTTTGTTTCTTTTCTGACTAATCAGTCTAAGTCCTTAGGAAAATTACCTCCAACTCTGTTCCCACCACCATTTTCAGGACTGCGTTCTAAATCAAAACAAATCCTCCTCATGTCTCCTCTAGATTTAGCTTATTATTAATTTATCAATTGTCTTAAATCTGTGACACACTCCTGCTAAAGGAAACAGTTTCTTTTTCTTTATTCCATCAAATATCTCCCTAACCTAACGTTTGATTTGCGTTATAGTCTGTGTACAAGATTAAAAACCATTTGAAACATAATAAGAATACTACATACCTCCTTATAAGCACCAGTGCATTCAAAATAATCCCGGGAAGGCAAGCCTAGGCTGGGTTGATCAATCTGTTAATTCACCAAAAGTTAAAGTACATTTAATGTTTTGTTGATTGCAAACTTTTGGTCTAACCTTGACATAGACATCAATGAAAAAGTAATAATGTGTTTACAATATGTGCTGTTAGCAATGTGTGAATTGGCCTGTTCAGTGAATTAGGAATTAAGCAGTGAATCTCCAGAACTTGCTGGCAGAATTATAGTTCCCCCTTCTTTTGATTTCGACAAACAACATATCCAATCCAACACAAAAACAGAAGTTGCTGGAGAAGCTCAGCAGGTCTGGCAGTATCTGTGAAGGGAAATCAGAGTTAACATTTCGGGTCTGGTGACACTTTCTCAGAACGGTCACCGGCTCCAAAACATTAACTTTGATTTCTCCTCACAGATGCTGCCAGACCTGCTGAGCTTCTCCAGCAACTTCTGTTTTTGTTCCTGATTTACAGTATCCACAGTTCTTTCAGTTTTTATTTAACATATTCAATCCTCCTCTCTTAGCTTTCCTCCTTGCAGTCTGCAATGAGGATACATTGTTTATAAAATCTACCCCAGTGTGATCTTTTCAACTAGGCAAAAAGTATGCTTGAAATGTGCATGCTATGCTTAAAGTGTTACTTTGTAAAAGAATGCAACAAAATGGCATTTTAGCAAAAGAGAACCTTATGAAGTCACATACATGGATTATGTAAACATTGGAGTTCTTGTCATCTGTCCCAACAAAAAAGTCTATGATGACACGCTTTCCAAATCTGGCTGTTAAAGTTGCAATGACTGTCTCAAGTGTCCAGTTTTTACCTATGAGAAAGCAAATACAAAACATAGTGACAGCAACTGGGCAACCTTTAGTTCAAAAAATATTCCCTCATCTGACGCAAATGAAAAACCCTTGAGCAGGTTATAGGAAGTCGGTCACTAATAAAAATACATATCACGACATATATCTGAAACGAAAATAGAAAATGCAGAGAAAGCTCAGTATGCCAAGCAGTATGTGTGAAGAAATTAAACAGAGTTAACATTTCAGGTTGATTCAGATGATGATTCACCATTAGGCTCTGGACACACCACCGAGAGAGGAGGCAGCAAGTTTAAAAAGAGCGCAGAGAGCAAGTAATAGTTTCATTCTGAACAAAGTACCAATAGAGGTGGCAGCAAATTCTACAATAGCGTGGTGAATGAGGAGTGGTTTAATTCTGAATATAGCACTGAGAGAGACTGATAGTGAGAAACACACAACAGTAAATTCACAGGAAATCTGCAAGATAATTAGCTGGTGAGAAGCTGCTATTAGGGAGTGAGTCTAAATAGCTATAAAATAAAATGATGTATCATTTATAAAGAAGTAGCAGTGACTTGGATTTCAGGGTGGAACACTACAAAAGGGAAGTAAAACTAAATCAAACCAGAGTAAAACAAAATAATAAAGGAAAATAAAGTTAAGATCAGTGAAGTATATTATGAAGTTTGCTTCATAAATTTAAATTATAGTATGGCAAGTCAGTGGGGCCATGTGGAAATATATGGCAAGTCATGGACATACAAGCAAACACAAATTCAGGAAGTGTCACCATCTATACAGGCTTGAGCTTCAGGTTTCAGAAGTTGAACAGATGCTAGAGTCACTGTTGTGATCTTAACCCAAGACTGTAACTGATATCCCCACAGGGAGATTATCAGATCAGCCACAATTTCATTGAGTGATGGATAGGACATGATGGGCTGAATGGCCAACTTTTGCTCCTAAGTCTTATGGTATAATGAGGTGATCACACCACAGATTAGAAGCATACAGGCAGAGCAGAATAGGTGACTACCAAGCAGTCTAGGGGAACCAGGCAAGTAGTGCAGGAGTCCGCTGAGTCTAAGGTGCTTGCCAATCTATTCCATTTTGGAAACTAGTTAGCGTGTAGCCAGGCACAAGTTCATGGGAGTGTGTGTGTGTGTGTGTGTGTGTGTGTGTGTACACGCGCGCCTGCATGGCAGGCTGGGAGTGTTGTGTGGACAGAAAGAGGAATAGAAGGACATACAGATAGAGGATTCTATATTGAGGGAGTCAGACAGATGTTTCTGTCATTAGAACATGATTCCAAGATGGCGTGTTGCCTTACCGGTGCCACGGTTAAGGATTTTATGGAGCAGCTCCAAGACATCCTTCTACAGAGGTGGATCAGTTAGAAATCATGGTCAGCAATATATGCAAGAAGTATAAAATCATGAAGGGCACAGTTAAGGTGAATAGCAAGAGTCTCTTCGCAAGGCTGGGGAGTTCAAAACCAGGGGACATATTTTTACGGTGAAAGGAGAAAGTTTTAAAATGGTCTACTCTTTTCCAGAGAATAACATTCCATTTTATTTAATTTTTTCTGATTCTTGCATTGTCTCAAAGTTGTAACCGTCTTGTCGTCATCTTCTGCACCTTGCTCAGTCCTTCATTGCACTTTTGGTAATAGGCAGGGTAGGTCTGTGCATCATACTAATCAATGTTGTACATATATGTAACACTTTCCTTCTATGTGATGTTTATATTCCTTCGAAATGCACTCCAGTACTTTGCAATTTTATGACCTTAATCTGTATAAGAATTAAGATTAGGCATAGGCCACTTGATCCCTCAAACCTGCACCACTATTTGATAAGACCATGGCTCATCTGATTACTCCATATTTCCTCTTATCTCCGACAACCTTTCACTCCTTTCCTTATTGAAAATCTATCCAGCTGTGCCTTAAAAATACTCAAAGACTTCTCTTTTCATGAAGAGAGTTCCACAGACTCATGACACTCGGGAAATCTTCCCCTCATCTGTGTTAAATCAGCAAACCCTAATATGGCAACAGCAATCCCTAGGGTTTTTGAGAAGATTTGTAGCTTGGGTTGTGGATTAGATTGTAGACATGCTCACCGAGCTGGTGGGTTTGGTTGCAAACGTTCGTCACCCTGCTAGGTAACATCGTCAGTGCACCTCTGGTGAAGCGTTGGAATTCTGTTGTCTCACTTATTATTTATATGCCTCAGCTTTTTGGGGTGTTTGGTACCACTTCCGGTTCTGTTTCTGAGTGGTTTGTACACAGGGTCTAATTCAATGTGTTTTTTAATGCAGTTCTGGTTAGAGTACCAGGCCTCCAGGAATTCCCTGGCGTGTCTCTGTTTGGCTTGTGCGATTATGGATGTGTTGTCCCAGTCGAATGTGTGTCTCTCTTTGTCTGTGTGTAGTATCAGGGTAGCCCACAAACCAAGAACCATCCTATGACAGCTACTAACGAATGTAAAGGATCCCATACACAAAACCGTTGTAATATACAAAATACCACGCAAGGACTATGAGAAACACTGCATAGGCCAAACCGGAAGAAAACTGACTGTACGGATACACCAACACCAACTAGCCACCAAAAGATACGACCAATTCTCACTTGTCTCATTATAGACGGACAACAAGGGACGCGAATTCGATTGGAACAACACATCCATAGTCACACAAGCCAAACAGACACAAGCCAGGGAATTCCTGGAGGCCTGGTATTCTAACCAGAACTCCATTAAAAAACACATTGAATTAGACCATGTGTACAAACCACTAAGCAACAAAACTAGAAGTAATACGAACCACCTCAGCAAACCGAGGCATATAAATAACAAGCGGGACAGAACACCGACGCTTCACGGGAGGCACACTGAAGATGTTACCTAGCAGAAACATTTGCAACCAAACCCAGCAGCTCTGCGAGCATGTCTACAACCTCAGTAATCCCTAGCTTTAACTTCATCTACAAGTGGAAACATCTTCTCCACATCCACCTTGTCAAGACCCGCCAGGATTGTATATACTTCAATCAAAACTTTAAATCAAATTTATAGCAGGGAAGGCTGAGAGGGGGCCTGATTAAGTTGTAAAAGATTATGAGAGGCACGGCAGGGTGGATAGGAAACAGCTTTCCCTCGGCTGAAGGGTCAATAACAAGGAGGAATAACTTTAAAATGAAAAGGCAGGAGGTTTCGAGGGGATTTGAGGAAAACATTTTGATCGCTACATTCATGCCACACAAATGCAGGCTGTAACCATTTCCAATAAGAGACAATTTAATCCTATCCTTTGAAATTCACTGGTGTTACCATTACCGAACTGCCCATTGTCAACATTCATGGGTTACAATTGACCAGAAACTCAACTGGACTTGTCACATAAATAGAAGCTACAAGATCAGGTCAGAGACTGGAAATACCACAGCAAGTAACTCACCTCCTGGCTCCCCAAAGCCTGTCTACCAGCTACAAGGCACAAGTCAGAAGTGTGATGGAGTACTGCCCACTTGTCTGGATGGGTACAGCTCCAACACCACTTATAGAAGCTTGACACCATTCAGAAAAAAGCCCCCTTGATTGGCTCCACATCCACAAAATCCACTCCATCCACCACTGATGCACAGTGGCAGCAGTGTGTACTATCTACAAGATGCGTGACAGGAATTCATCAAAGATCCTCAGACAGCACCTTCTAAACCCATGACCACTTCCACCTGGAAGGCCAAGGGTAGTGTAGACACACAGGAATACCACCATCTGCAAGTTCCCCTCCAAAACACTCACCATCCTAACCTTGGAAATATATTCCTTCACTGTTGCTGGGTCAAGATCCCAAAACTCTGTCCCTAATAGCCATGATGTGGAGATGCCAGTGTTGGACTGGGTTGGACAAAGTCAGAAGTTGCACAACACTATGTTATAGTCCAACATGTTTCTTTAAAATTACAAGCTTTTGGAGCACTGCTGCTTCAATAGGTGAGGTCACCTTATTTCACCTGAAGGAGCAACACTCCAGAAGCTTGTAATTTCAAATAAACGTGTTGGACTATAACCTGGTGCTGTGTGACTTCTGACTTTGTCCTTCCCCAAGGGCATTGTGGGTCAACCTACAGCACATGGATTGCAGCGATTCAAGAAGGCATCTCACCACCACCTTCTCAAGGGCAACTAGGAAGAGGCAATAAATGATGGCCTGCCAGCGATGCCCACGTTCCATGAGCGAATTTAAAAAAAAACCAGAAGGTGGTGAGAGTCTAGACTGCACTGTCTGGGAGGATAGTTGAGGCAGGATATTAAACAACCTTTAATAAGTATTTGGATGAGCATGTGAAATGTCATAACATTCAAGGCAATGGGTCAAGTGCTGAAAAGTAGGACTAGGGTACATTTGGTTTTGTTTTTTGGATAAAACTCAGCAAATCTAGCAGCATTTTTTGAGAGAAATTAGAGTTAATGTTTTGTGTCCAATGACACTTCAGAATGAGTTTCTATTTTTATTTCCAGCATCTGCAGTTCTTTTGGCTTTTTTGGAGTTGGTTTTTGTTGTGCAGACTCAATGGGCTGAAGGACCTCTTCAATAATGTGTGATTCTATGATTCTAAGTCATCCTCATCCCCTTCTAAATTCCAGTGGTTACAAGATTTCACTAATTGTTCTTCATAAGGTAATGCATCCATCCCAGGTAGTTTGGTAAACCTTCTCTGAAGGCTGCCAATGCATTGACATCCTTTCCCAAACATTTGTGTGAAGAGTTGGAGAATTTGGTTCAGGATTAGACATTAGTTCAGCCATAAATTATTAACCTGGCCATTCTCAGCTCCTGCTCTACACCGTTAAGATCTTAACAACATGCTGTTACTTTTTGATGTGTCCACATTCCCTGGTGTCTTTTCTCTGTTATTACATTTAAAACCTTAGCTTCCAAGCACTAAGCAGCCTCCAGCTATCACCACTTTGCGTTGGTCATCTTGGTTTCTCATTGATTTGTGTGGTCTGAAACTGTTTGATGTCTTCCTGTACTTTGGTGCAGTTTGCCACATGGCCCTCAATGTTGGCATTGTCTGCAAAGTGCCACACCTCCAATTTTAGAATCCAAATTATTTATGTGCAAAGCAAACAGCAGCGATCTCATTAGAAAGCAGCAATGAATGGACTTGAAAACCTAGCATGAACACATTGTTCAATGGATGACAGTGATAGCGACACAATGGCTTGGTGGTTAGCGATGGTGCCTCATAGCAATAGGGACCCAAGTTCAATTCCAGCCTCAGGTGACTGTGTGTAGATGTTCTCCCCATGTACCCATGGGTTTCCTCCAGCTGCTCCAGTTTCTTCCCACAGTCAAAATAAACACAGATTAGGTGAATTGGCTATGCTAAATTTCCCCATAATGTTCAGGGCTGTGCAGACGAGGTGGATTATCCATGGTAAATCTATGGTTACGGGGATAGGCTAGGGGGCTGTGTCAGAGTGAGTTGCTCTTCGGAGCGTTAGTTCAGACTCAATGGGTTCTTCATGCACCGTAGGGCCTCTGTGATTCTATGCTGTTCATTTTAACCCTTGGGATTTCCCTTCTTCAACTTGACAACTTGAAATAAATGTAAAAATTCATCAAACATTGTAAAACCATGTTTTGATCTTACCATAATTCTCATCCCAGTTGTCTGTTGCGACTGGCCAATCGAGTACACCGGTCAGCATGCTAATTAATGGTTTCCCACCTTTGCTTTCAATGGCAGCTGAAGTAAAAACAAGGAAAGACATTAGTGCACAACAAGGCATACATGAAAATGGTGAGATTATCCATGGCCACTCACTTTGATTTGTGCACGATTTATACAGTGTCTTTGCTTTCTTAATCGCGTCAGGATCTCCATTGTCTGGCTTCTCGAGGACATCTGGAATCAAAGAAAAATTAGGTTCAGCAAAACAACTGAGACATGTTTTCCTCAAGTTGCTCCAAGAACTTTTCCACTACCACTTAATGGTATGAAATTGTTTTGCCCAAGCTCAATGACCATAATAACAATAGGCAGGAGAATTGACCATTCAGCACCTCAAACCTAATTCTCCTTCAATCACTTAATGGATGGCCTGCAACAAAAATTATTTAACTGCCTTTGATTTGTAACTCCTTTCCAGTACTATCTGAATGATTTTCTTAATGAGTGTCTCTTCTATTGAACTATTGGAAATCAATGGAGTTGTTATTTTTTTAAATCCTGCAGTTTACCACTGCTCTTTGAGTCATGCAACTATCTGTCAATCTACAATGAAGGAGCATAATCAGAATACAAGGTGTTGGGTTTCAATTGTCAACTCTTGTTGGATGTATTCCTGTAGGTGTTAGAACACGGTCTCCAACTGCTCTCCAAACTTCCATATTGTTTACCAACAGGTGCATCATCATGATGTCCTACCAACCCCTGTCCAACTGGGGAGTGAAGACTTTTCAATCTCATGATGTTATTTCCTGATTGATAGTCATGTATCACCCAATCAAGCAGCTGTTTTTCCTCCTCATTTCCACTTCTTTTTGTTAACTAACAAACTAGAAAATAAGAAATCTTCCAAAGGAAATTAAAGCAACCACAATTATTCTCCTGAGATTGTTCTCAGTAAATTGCTGTTTACTCCCTGCAATAGGCTTATGGTTAGACTACAGAACAATCCTAGAAAGTTGACAATGCTAGCTGGACTGTATTGCTGCCTTCACACTAAATGTCAGTTCCAGAGCAATTAATCTACTTGTGCTTAACAGCAGTACAACAAACCCTATGTTTACTGCATTCCATTACTGGATGCAGATACAAAGCTTTAAAAGTACATCAGGACAGTTTAAAACTCACCTCTGCTGACATGTGGAATTCGCAAGCAGTTTCAGCTATGCAAATTCTCCAACAAGCTATAAATTAACAGGTTACAGAGAATGACCTTCAACTCCAATTCCTCTCAGAATAAACCATGCTTTTAATGCAAAATGTTACTTACCATAGATATCTTGGAAGTCACTGGTTAACAGATAATTGGTAGTTCTAAAATGGCAATTTGTTTGGAGTTCAATTAAATGAAGTTGTTTGAAATACACAGTTTAGACTAACATGAGCTGAAGTCATGAGCCTGGTATCATCAATGGCTCAATAAGTAGGATGCTCATATTTGGGTCAGAATTGGTCATTGGTTCAATTCCAATAACAAAAAGCAGAACACGTAATCCAGGCTGATACTCTTAAGTTCAAATACTGACAGAGCGCAACGTTACTGCAGTCTTACTAATGAGACAATATACTAATTCCCTATCTGTAAAAAGTACAACAGCGTTGTTTCAAAGAAGTGCAAGGGAATTATGGTTTGTACTCTGGGCTAATATTTATAAGTCAATCAGCATCCCTGAAATGATCTAATTGTTACCTCATCAATGCCTGTAGGACATTCCTGAGGGAGAATTAACTGCTGTTTTCCTGCCTTACAACAGTGACTAGCAAATTTCAGAAGTACTTCATTAACTGTAAAGCAAATATCTGTAAAGCTTTTGTCACTGACGAACTGTGGAATGCAATCTGTTGAAACTCATTGTCTATAATTATATATGAAGAATCGCCACTTGGCAAAAAGATTAGGTTTCATCTTCGGCCAGAAGTGCCAAGTAGATGATCCATCTTGGCCTCCTCCACAGGTTCACAGCATCATAGGTACGAGTCTTCAGCCAATTCAACGCACTCCACGGGATGTCAAGAAATAGCTGATGGCACTGGATACTGCAAAGGCTAAGGGCCCTGACAAAATTCTGGCAATAGAATCAAACCTTGTGCTCCAGAATTGGCCAACCAATAGTCAAGCTATTCTAGTACAGCTACAACACTGCCATCTACCCAGCAAAATGGAAAATTGCTGTTTTATCAGTTTACTTTCAACCATCAGTAAACTGACGGAAAGGGCTACTAACAATGCTATCCAAAGCACTCACACAATAACCTGCTCACTGATTGTCAGTTCAGTTCCATCAGAGCCACTCAGCTCCTGACCTCATTAAAGCCTTGGTCCAAACATGGAATAAAAATCTCAAGTGCAGAAATGACTGTGACAGCCCTTGACATCAAAGGAGTGTTGAATGAATGTAGCACCAACAAGCTCTAGTAAATCTGAAGTCAGTGGGAATCAGGGGAAAGCTTTCTATTGGTTGAAATTATAGCTAGCACAAAGGAATTGGGTTTGGTTATTGGAGTTCAGCTATCTCAGCTCAAGGGCATCACTGCAGGCATTCCTGAGGGTAGTGTCCTAGGCCCAACTACCTTCAGCTGCTTCATGTGACCATGTGGATGATAATGGAATAGTTTAGATTAGATGGGCTTCAGATTGGTTTCACAGGTCGGCTCAACATCGAGGGCCGAAGGGCCTGTACTGCGCTGTAATGTTCTATGTTCTATGTTCTATCTCTCCACTATAAGGTCAAAGTTGAGGGCATTCATTTATAATTGTACAATGTGCAGCACCACTCACTGGTCCTCAGATAGTGAAGCTGTCTGTGTGCAAATGCAGTAGGGCCTGGACAATATCCAGGTTTGATCTAATATGTGGTAAGTAACATCCACACCACACAAATGCCAGCCAATGTCTATGTACAAATTGACAGAATCCAACCATTGTCCATTGACAATCAATGGCACTGTAACTCTGAACACCCCACTATCAACATCCTGGGCGCTATCAATGACTAGAAACTGACAAAACCTGTACCCCTAGAACATTAACCTTGACTTCTGGATTACTAGACCAATGACATTGCCACCATGCCACTCTTTTCTCATGATTTGTTTACTGTCCTGGTCAGTTATTGAAAGTATTCACAAGAGGATGCCAATATATTTTAAACAAAAGGAAATCAAGTTTTACTACACACAAATTGGAATAAGCAAACTATATTATATTATATCAGATCAGAATTATTTGAAATGATCATATTACAAATAGCAGAAACAAAGATTCCACCCTTGTTACCTCACAAAACCTCAGAGGTAGTCAAACTTCAGTGAAGGGTAACGCTGTTTCCACTTTAATGTTCTTTATTCATTTAGCACAGTGATATTTGTGTTTGTTTTTCCAACAAATGTTTGCATTTACGGGACACCGAGTTCTATAATTATTGTCTCTTTGTGAGGTTTCTAAATAAACTGTTAAAGTCTTTTTGAATAAACTTCAAAAGCCTTATTGGATGTCTTCCTCCCTGACACCTTAAACACTTCTGTTTCTGGAGCTCTTCGCTTACTAACTTCTAAGTCACTCAGGACTTTTTTTTTCTTTCCTGATTGTTTTGGAGACTGCTAAACTGCACTGTTGATGTTACAAGCCTTTTCTCTCTGAATGACTTGCTTCTCTCTGAGAGAAACTTACTCAGCCACTAATGTTCTGCATTATCCTGTCTTTCTGTCACTATCTTCCTTTATCATGGGACACATTATTATGCAACAATACTTTTTTTTTCTTCTACTGTTTCTTTTCTAAAGCACTGAACTATTCAACCCAATGGTATTTTTTTCAAAGCATCTTCTAAATCTAAGTAAACAATTATTCAAATAACACACAATATGAAAAACAAAGTGTAATTAAAGCCATACATAGTTCTATCTACTTTAGAACACAAGTCTCCAAAAAATACTAATAAAATGTTATAAAACATCCATTACACATGCATGAAAAAGCATTGCTAACGTACCTGGACGGCATAATGAAAATCACAACTTCCAAAAAAATTTTTACCTCTAATCATCCTGTCTCCCAAATAATCAATAGAGATGTAGCATCAGGACTCACTACTGGTGCATGAATAGATTCTGCCTACATGGTGTACTCTTCACCCCTGGAATTAACCAACTCAGATGGCTTCTAAAACAGAATTTGTCATCAGCAACACATAGGCCAAAATTTTGCAAGTAAACGGTGTTGAACAGAAACCCTTACTGGCTACTAACATAATAAGAGCCTACCATTTTCCCAAATGTGTTGGCAGCACACCAAGTAGCTGCCATCAATGAAGTCTTGAAAAACGTACCCTCATAATGTATAAGTCCAAATAGAAATGTAGGTAACTTACAATTTTGAACATAGGAGTAGATTTTTTAGGACTTGGCACTGATGACAAAGAGTTTAGCAAATTAACGGATAGGAAATAGGGGCCACAATGTCAAATTGTCAGAAAGAGAGCAAGGAGTGAGATGAGAAGAAACTTCTTTACTCAGAGAGTTGTTAGGATTTGGTATGCACTGTCTGGGAGAGCAGTAGAGTGGATTCCACAGGAAATTTCAAAAGAGAGCTGGATATATATTAGACAGCTAAGGAGAAAGGGCCTGAGAGTGGACTATCTGCGTAGCTTTTTTGGGAGCTGGTATAGACATGATGGGTCGAATGGTCCCGTGTACCGTAAAATTCCATGATTCGGTGCAAATTGTCTTAAAATGGAAGCAATAGGTTCACAATGTATGTGTGCCATAAAATGGTCACACTACATGCACTCAAAATGTCCTTCAAATAGGCACATAAATGTCCGCATTTGTGCACGCCTCAGATTTGGCATGCTGAGTACTAGGTGCTGAAGATGATCCTCTGAATTAGCGGTATGCTTACCTGCACTCCTCACAGTAGCAGAGCACTACTGGAAAAGCCAGCAATGTTTCAACAGCCGCTTTATTAAAAAAACCCTTCAAGCTCAAGATGATCAGTTCACAAATAGCACACTGCTTCAATAGTTCCAATGCCAACAAAAGCTTCACTTCAATTTGACATTTTAATCACCTGTATTTCCAAATGCCTCACAGCTACAGCCACAATTTCCATAGATTAAACAGGCACCGAGCTATTGAGGACAGAGAAGGTTCCACAGCCTACTTGTAGTTCCCATAGC